CCCGCACCCAGCTCACTTCCTTTGTGGCTCCCTGGGCCACTGGGGCAGGGCTCCATCACGGTGTGAGGGTGCTGGGCCCACCTGGAGGCCCCGCCCTCTGCTGTCCTCACAGCAGCAGGGTGGGCCCCGGGGGAAGCTCTGGCCTGTTCTGACCCAGACAACTCTCCATGGCTGGCCAGCCCTCCCTGCCCAGGTGCACCTGGGCCACACCCTCCCCAGGCCCCGACCACTCCAGGACCAGTCCTCCCCCGCCCACCGTCCTCTGGGGGAGGGGGCACACGTTGGCCGTAGACCCCATCTCAGCATGGGCTGTGTCTGGATCACTGACCAGGTGTGGCTTTGGGTGGCTGCTCCTCTGGCCCGTGTGGTTGAGGGTCTGAGGCCACTTCAAAGTGGGACAGTGCTGTCACCCCCAGAGGGTGGCACAGCCCCCCCCCCCCAGGTCTGTTTCCCTTCTTCCCGGGAGCCTGAGGGTGTCTTGGGACAGCCCCTCCCACTGGTTGAAGGAGTGCCCACCTGCTGGCAGGTGGGGCGGGGAGGGGATGAGCTCATTACCAGGAGGCCCAGGCTGGGGGTGTGGGCCCAGCAGCAGGGAGGTGCTCCCCATCTGTGAAGTGGTGCAAAGATCCTCAGGGTCCCAGACGGTGTGGGGATGAAAATTAACAGAGGAAGGTGCCCGGTGCCCCAGTGGGCTTGCGACACCTGCTCAAGGGCTCGTCTCTGGGTTTTTCTCTTAGAGACTTTCTCCTGATTTCTCCCCCTTTCCTCTCCCTCCCTCCAGTGCCACGGTCCTCTGTCCTGTGCAGTCCTGCCCGGCCCTGGGCCCGCCACCTCTGCCCAGCGGTGAGGGGCCTCCCCGTCCTGTGCAGCCCACCCTCGGGCTCTTGTGGGCTGACAGGAGACACTGAGCCTGTGGAGACGGCTGTCCCTGCCCTGGGCGCTCAGGGTCCTGCTGGGGAGCATGCTCATCAGAATGTCCTCACTTCTCACCCTGGTTGGTGTTGCTCAGTGGATAGAGCGTCGGGCTGTGGACTGAAGGGTTCCAGGTTCAATTCTGGTCAAGGGCACATGCCTGGGTTGCGGGCTTGATCCCCAGTAGGGGGTGTGCAGGAGGCAGCTGATCCATGATTCTCCCTCATCATTGAAGTTTCTATTTCTCTCTCCCTCTCCTTTCCTCTCTGAAATCAGTAAAAATATATTAAAAGAAAAAAAAGAGTCCTCTCTCCCACTTCCCCAGGCTCAGAGCCTTCCACTCCTCACCACCTGTCCAGAACCCGGGTCCTCACTGCCACCGAGCCGTGTCCCACGTGAGACAGGCGTGGCCTGTTCCTGGCGAGGTCCTTGCAGCCTTGCCGAGCCCTTCCCACCTCCTCCCTTTGCTGGAAACTCCCTCCCCTGGACGGTCCCATGCCTGTGCCCCCTGCCCATTGAGGTGACCACACACAGCGAGACGGGAAGAATGGAATGGAGGTCAGCGCCCCGTCAGCCCCATCTCACTCAGAAGAGCCTCAGAAGCAAGATGAGGGCGAGACACAGCTCCCGGCCGCCTCACCGTGGGAACCAAGCCCCTGTGTCAGCCACTCAAGCTCCTCCCCCTGCAGGCCCACTGTGCGGAGACTGGAGCCCACAGCTGTCAGGAGGGCGGGTGGGGCAGCTTGGATTCTGCACTTGTTTTAATACAAAAGCAATTCCCTCCACTTGCTGGTACCACACATTGAGGGCCAGGACTCCTTTCAATTCCCACAGCCACTGGGCCCGGGTGAGACCATCCCGACTCTCCCACACGCGCTCCCGCGCTCCCTCCATCCAAGGTCAGGGTCACAGGCCAAGCAGGAGTCTGGGGAGACACGCTCCTCTCCTCGGCTTCCAGGGTGCAGGAGGGCTCCCAGCGAGTCCCCGCCTTCCCCCTGGCTCTGTGGAGCCGCAGGTGTGGCTGCAAGTCCAGGTCACCACACCTGGCAGGTCTGAATCACCTCCTTCAAGGCCCGCAGCCCCTCCATGCTCCGGTCCTTCACGGCCATGGCCAGGAGGACGGCTCTGTTTCCGGCTTCTTGAGACACAAAGGTCACCAGGTTCTTGGCGAAGACGTGGATGAGAGGCTGGTGAAGGGAAGGGGAGAAAACCACATCACGTCTGGTTTTCATGCCTGAAGTGTCCCGCGGGGCCCAGACTGGCTTCCCACGCCCCCAGGAGGTCAGCACTCCAGGCATTCGCTGTGACAGTGATCCGAGCTCAGAGGCTCAGAACGCGCCAGGCACCCCCCCCCGCCCCCCGCCCGCAGAAGGCGTCACTGCCGCTGCCTCCTCGGTGCTTCCAGCTCCTGTCTGTCTGCTCTCTGACCCGGGAGGCTCCCGAAGGACAGGTCTGTGGCCGGACTCTGCCCAGGGGAGCATCTTCCCGGACGGAGCACGGCGGCCACCCCACGTCTCACCCCAGGGTCACACTTGGGGAGGGGGTGCGGCTTGCCTGCTGGGTAAGATGCTGAGGGGCTGGGAAAAGCACCCACCCCACCCCAGGCACACAACTCGCACCACGAGGACCCAGAAAACGCTGTCGCCCAGGTGGGGCTGCTGCCCCCCGACACTCCCTGTCCCCTGCCCACGGAGTCCTCCCACCCGTTACCTCGTCCTGCCCGAGAAGAACTTTGGTAGTGAGCGCGGGCTTGCTGATGTCACTGGTCACAGTGCTGGGCTCCAGGGCGACCAGGGTCCCCATCTTCCCGAACTGGGTCACCACCACCAGGATGTGGGTGCTGAAGGCCGTGCAGACCACCTGGGTGGGGACCCCACACACCACTTCCGTCTTCTGTTTGGACGTCACCAAGGGCTTGCCCTCCATGGCCAAGTCCCTGTGATGGCGCCTTGGCTGACATGAGACAGGAAGGGGAGAGCCGACCCACGGCCACATCACAATTACAACCACAGCCCAGAACAACCTCATCAGAACCGCCTGAACGCTGGCGGAATGGGAGCCCCACAACCAGAGGAGAGAGGAGGGTGCGCTGACAGTGGTGGGGGTGGAGGCGTGGAAGGGGCAGGTCCCACACCCTCCTGAGCCGTTTTTCCAATCGGAAGGGATGTCTTGGCTGCAGAGGCACAAGGGGTCCCAGCCCCACACCGGCCCCCAGCCCGGGCTCCAGGCTGGAAGAGAAGTCCCTGGAACTACGGGCTGTAGGACCCAGCGGGGATTGGGGCTCCGTGACATGGAGGCTGCTGCAGACCCAGGCTCCATTTGAGAGGCCGGTGCACTATCTCCTACTCCCAGCACCGGGCGGCTCTGGGGACCCAGACACAAACGGCAAACGGGGGGGGCTGGACTGTCTGGCATGGGCAGGGCTTCAGGGGTGGCTTCCTCCTGGGGTGCTCACAGGGGTCACTGTTCCTGCGCTGGAACCTCCCCTGCTGCAGGGTGACTGGCACCCGTATC